TCTCTCTCTCTCTCTCTCTCTCTCTCTCTCTCTCTCTCTCTCTCTCCCTCCCCCTCTCCCCCTCTCCCCCTCCCCCTCCCTCCCTCCCCCCATTTCCCTCTCCCCTCCCCCCGTATATGTGTATATATGTGTGTGTGTATATGTATATATGAATATGTGTGTGTACACACACACACATCCCACAAGAGAGCCAGAGCTTCAAAGCAAGCTGTTTTGGCTTGGCCTGAGAACTTAATTATCTGTCATGTAAATTGTTTTTATTGCAAAATGCTTTCTGAGACCCATATAGCTGTTTTACAGATACATTTTTTTAAACACAATCCACTGTGTAAATTTAGATGACTTATATGCCAGAAATTTAGATTATCCTAAGGTGATGTAACCATGTTTTCAAGTTCCTTTGTGCTAAAAAATTCCAGATTGAGATGTTTAGGATATAAGCACATGTTTTCCAAGATAATGTTTATATAAGAATTTGGGTAAACAGATGACCAGTAGATAATGCTTTCTGAATTAGTTCAAACTAAAGGGAGTAGGTTACATAAACTTTTAATTTCATAGTTTCTTGTATTTGTTTTTAGTAACATAATTTGATGTTTTACATAAGAAAAATAGAAGTCATGAAATTTTTAATAATGTTCTTAGGCTTTCATTTCTAATTTGACAGTTGCATGAACTTGAAAAAAATTTTCATTTTAATGTCCACCCCAGAATTTGATTTGTAAAACTTCCATAGCACTGAAATTGAAGTGTTCAATTAGCATTTCTTTCACTAGTGTAACAAGACTAGTCTGTAAGCATTTTCTGAATGAAATAATTTTTTTCCCAGTTGTACTGATATTTTATACAACTACTACTTCCTCATCGGTTAAAAGCTTTTAAAATTTAAAAATCTTTAATTTTTTTATGAAAAGTTCAATATCTATCTTTTAGCAGACAAATTTTCTAGGATGGTCAGTTGACCAATGTAATCTAGACCACACAAACTGGGACTAGACTTTGCAATTCTCAACTAGGCCCGCTTTGTTTTTGTCTGAGAACCCAGACAAGATGACTTCTACTTTGGGGGAGCTGAACTGTGAGGTGGGCACATTATCCTCAATTTATGAAGAAACAAGCCCAGAGAGATTGAATAACTTGATCTTGGTTTTACATTAGTAGTAAAGACCTAAAGTGGAGTTTGAATCACTACATCTTTTTGACTCCCAAGTCCTGCATTGTATGTGTCATTGTGTTGAGCTGCATATCTTCGTAGTGAATTCTAGTGATGGAGATAGTAGTCAGCAAAATAGCAACTTACTGGTACTATACAAGTACCTGTTTAGGTTTGGCAGTAGCAGTCTCTGACTTTGGGATAACTTGAAGAATTATTGTGTTTTTGAAAAACATTTTTTACCTAAAGAAAAACTTGACATATATCTTGGTCGTTTTAGGCAAAGGGGCTGATTTGAGTAAGCCTCCATGTCGAAAAGCAAAGGATATACGGAAAGAAAGGAAAAGGCAGAAACTCATTCTTAAGAGTCAAACAGACAAGCTTGAAGGTTCTCAGATTCAGCATGAACCACAATCTTTGCCCTCAGAAAAACCTAAATTAAATCAGCCTAAATCCGTTGAAGATTTCATTTTTGACACCTTACCTGAGGATGCTGCACATCAATTAGAGGTATTCTGTTATATAATGATTTTTTGTTCAGTTTTATCTTTCAGTTAAAATTAGAAAATTTAAACTGTGTTGTTTGAATAAAAAGGAAGTAAATGATGTGGACTGCTATGACATAGATTTTAAATTTTCCAAATTTCAAAGTTTAATTTCCATTTTGGAATGCTGTTATTTATTTATTTTTGAAAAGCCTTACCAACTTAGACCTTTAGGTAGAAATAGCCATAAAAATAAAATGTTTCACAGTAGAGGGCGCTCTGACTCTTTCGTATAACAAGGTTTCCTTTTAGTTAAAATCAAAGACAATAATAAACATTAAAATTGGATTTATTAAAATTGGATTTGGATTATGAATTTCAATTAGGTGTGTGTGGGGGAATTACACATAATTCCTAGTATTTTCACATTGAGTCAGACAACGTTTATCCAGTCAAAGATTCTCAGCCTGGTAGTGGCACCAAGGGATTTTTACCTCAGAAGGTTAGGAGTATGCTCCAAAATGTAGGTAATTTCTACCATTATGAGTCTATTATTAACTAAATCTTTCTTGAACCTAATACATAATAGACACTTAATACATAGATTTCTGGTTCTACAATTTTTTTCTTGTAGAGCTGATTTGGAGAAAGAAAAGTCATTTTTAGGTAAAGTCTAGTATACTTTCTGTTTTCTTGTTACTTTCAAAAAGTAATATTTTTTACCATAACTACAGTAGACAGTATTACCAAAGCTACTCCCCTCAAAAATAGTAACCCTTCTATAATAACATTTATATAGCTTTTTAGCGTTATCTCATTTAATCTTTACAACAACTTGGTGAGGTAGGTGCTGTAATTATTCCCTTTTGAAGGCTCTGTTTAGGATAGTTAAGTGACTTGCCTAGGGTCACACAATTACTATATCTGAGCCAGGATTTGATCCTAGGTGTTGGAATACAGCGCTCTATCCACAACATGATGAAAAACAGTAATAACAACAGAAATTAAAATTTGAGGTCTGTAAAGCCCATTCTGGGTTTATATAGACTAAATTCATTTTGGAGACAAATTTCAAATTTAAAAATTTCTCTTTGGCTCATAACCCCCACCTGGAATCTCATCTGGTAACATCCGCATATGGCTTATGCATCTAAATATATATATATAAAAAGAGACCCTCAACTTTTACATAAATACTCAGGCTAACAATATATGTCATTTAAGACAGACTTTATTTCATCTGATGGAAAACGAAAAACACACAGGACCCCCTTATTTTATCCCAGATACAGTTAAGACAACTTTCTTTGTTTCTCCGGTTAGTTCCAACTCCCCTGAGAACTGTGCCTTCCTCTAGGCTTAAGATATTACCTTAGGGTTGAGTCTTCCCTCACAAAGGGAAAGTAATTGGGAATTGGTAAAGAGTAGGTCTCTTTTTATTTGGTCAGCTGTCCAGACTTCTAATACCACCTGAAACTTCGGAGTCTCCTGAATTGGGTTACTAGAGAATCAGTTCCTTGTCACAGATTTGCACAGTTCTTATGATCTCCGATGATAGGGGAAGGCAAGGTCTAGGCTTGTTCTTCTACAGCGTGTCCTTTGCTCATGTGTAGTTCCAGCTACTTCTTGGGCCATGAATTCAGTGTTGTTCAGAAACTCTGACTGTTTTTCCCAAGATTGGTTGGCCCTTGAATCTATTCTATTCTAGCTGCTCCGGGGCAATATGGTTCTCTCTGTCCTGGGGTTACATGGTTCCTTGGAGCGACTTCAGGGGTCACACATGTCTTCTTTTAAAAAAGAGGAACAAAACAAAACCCCAATATTTTATTGATGCCCCCCCTTTTTTAATGTCATTGTCACTTCCCAGTGAAACTCTCCCACTTGTAAAAATCAAGTAAAACAAAACAATTCATTTGTATGCAAAACTGTGCCTCATTCTGCATCTGTAATTGGCTTTCCAACAAGCAGAATCTGGGGGCATCAGATTGTCTTTTCTTTGTCTATTTGGTTCTCACCACATTTCTGTATCCTTTCTCTTTTAAAAGCCAAGTCTAATATGGCTTAGGAGTATACTAGCCTTGACTTACCCATCCCCACATATGGTCCTGTATCATTCATGTTATATGTTTATTTGTGACTCAAATCATTCATCGTAATGTGGGCCAGTACACCAAATTCTGTCAAGAAAGTATCATCAGATACCCAAATGTGGAGTCCAAGGGAAGCTTTTCTGTTTACACCCTTTACATTATAATTTAAGAATAAAAATAAAGCATTCAAAAAGAAAGTATTATAGAATGGTTACCAAATGCATCAAAACTTTTTTCTCTTGGCAGACATTGGTAGTTTGTTAGGCATATGCTATTCTGTTATTTTTAGTAGAAAATATCCCTGAGTAGACTTCTGTATATTTTGATGCTTGTTGTCTAGTACCCACTTTAAAAAAGAACAGTTTTTGATAATTAGTTATTATTTACATTTTTCAAACGTTTTGAATGGTTCAACTGAATTGATAGCTTATTTTCTGAGTTTATTGTGATTCCTAAAAGTGGAATGCTGACCCTTTTCTTATAAGGAGTGAGTGTCTGATAGCAAAATATGAGGGATTTCTTGTTCACTAGGTATCACTCTTTGTATCTAATGGAACTACTTTTCACAAAATGCCAGTGACTTTGGCTTTTTCTCTTTATTATATTTTTTATTTCCCTTCTTTCCACCTGAACATATATGTGTATTCTCACTTATATTTTTAAATAGAAATGACCAGAGGATCATAGATCTAAAGGTGGAAGGGGCATCAAAGTGTGTATAGTCCAACTCCCTCATTTTACAGATGAGGAAACTGAGTCTGAGGATAGTGACTTGCCCAATGTTACATAGATAGTAAGCATCAGAGGTGGAATTTGAAACCAGATCCTTTCAGGACCTGGGAAACCTAAAGAATCTTAACCTGGAGTCCATTGGAGTTCATGGATAGATTTCAGTGGGCCTCTGAACTTGGGTCAGGGAAAAAACTACGTCTTTATGTCAATAAAATAGATTTCTTTTGTAATGCTACGATTTTATTTTGCACATTTAAAAACATTCCAACGAGGGGCCAAGGACTTTACCAGACTGTTGGAGGGATCCACAACACACAAAAAACGAAGAGCCATTGCTCTGGAGCTATGGTTCTCTTTTCTTTTTCTTTAAAAAAAAAATAATAACCAAATTGTTTATATCTTAGTTTTAAGTATAAGCATGGTAGGCACTTTTTGACAAAATGTTTAAAAGTATAGAATGCACTTCGTGGCCTAGAGAGGTCTCTGTGTACATTAAAGGCCCACAATTGTGTGTCCTTGTGAAAAGCACCATTCTGGTGTAATCTGTAATAATATGGGAGGCAGCATGGCCTGGAGCCCTGCAGGAGGTCTGGGCTTTACATCCTAGGTCAGCAACTTACTGACTTTGGGGGCTCAGGTAAATCACAGCACTTCTCTGAACCTCAGTTTTTGCATCTGTAAAACAAAAGGGTTGGAATGGATAATCTGTAACATCCTTTGCATCTTAGGCATTAGACTTCAAATTATTCATAATTTGTATATACATAAAGTAGTCCCCTAAGTAACATTCTGAAGATAAAATGTTGTAGAAGCAAAATCTAAAATTAATACATAAATCAGCAGTTCTTATTTATTACAGGTAAAAATGTTGCATTTTAAAAGTTTTTCCCCTTCCTCAAAATTATTATAAAATACTTGTCTGAATATTCACATTTTATGGGTTGTCACTGTATGATTTTCTGATAAAGCAAAGTGATAAAAATTGTTGGTCCTTTCTCTAATTTTATGTTATAGAAAGAACATTTTAACCAAATCATATTAAAATCTTTATTTTTTTTGTTTTCTGAGATAATTCTAGGAACATACTGATATAAGTTCATTGATATCCAGACATCAAAATTGAAAGCCATCCATAATTTAAATCATCTTTAGAAACATAATAGTTTGATTAAATAAGCATATTTCCATTAACTTCAGAACTAGCAAGTAGAAATTGAGAGGGCCTCCTATAATGTGTGGGGCTTTTCTGTTGACAGAAATAATAGATTTTAAAGTTTTATTAATTGATTTACCTTAAATGTTTTATTAAATGATTCAGTTTTAATGTTATCAATAAGCTACATAGTTATTATGTGCCTTTTTTAAAATTAAAAAAAATTTCAGTTATTTTCAGGTATGAGTAATTATTACAATTTGTTTTATTAATGAGAATTGTTTTTCAACTCCTTCTGAAGGTGAGGGTGGTGAGATCATCCCCACCAAGTTCCCAGTTCAAAGCCACATTTCAGGAGTCTTACCAGGTCTATAAACGTTACCAGATGGTTATTCACAAGGACCCACCTGATAAACCAACTGTAAGCCAGGTCAGAAGGCCAAGTATAATTTTTATGTTCGATTTGAACTTTCCCCTACACTTAATACCATTGCATGAATCCTGGTTTCAAGAATGAAGTTTATTTTATGGTACATGTTGCTCATAGTCTGTTTGAAGCAAATCTTCAAAGAGATAGAAATAGCAAACTAATGGACATTCTGGAAGTGCAAATTTCATTAGATACCAATGATATATAACCTCAAAATGGTATGTACCACAAAAAGTAGATAATTTTGCTTTGCGCATGGTTAGTGTGTTTAGATACATCAAAATTATAGTCAGTGATAAATCTTTGTAGGTCATGTATTTTATACTCAGAAAATTATCTTACGCCCCCAATGCACACCTCCATAGTATGCATGTATTTCATACAACTTTATAAACATTTTGTATCCATACTTAAAAATAAATAGCAGAAGTGGTGCAGAACTGCCAAATTATTTTGGTTATGGTGCCTTCAGTGAAAACCTGAAACTAGAAAAATAAAGTAGCTCATTAAAAGCCATAGTATTCTGACCACTTAATAATTTCGGTAATCAAATAATTTTAAAAATCCCTAAGATAAAATTAATGCTTCTGGAGGGAGGATAGAGTAGAAGCTGAGTATGTTGCCATTATTCTAAGCAAGTAATAATTATTGAATGTTCACTGTAAACAGAACCGTAATAAGTGGATAGAAACAAATAGTAGATAGAGCCTTGACCCTTAAAGAGATTTAAAACTAGAGTTAGTTTCATAAGGCTTATATAGGCTTTATGCCACTTAACCCTTAGTAGGGCTTATTCTGTTTCAGGTAAGATTCCAATGCTGAGCTTTGGAGTGGAGTTGAGGAGATCTTACACTAGCCTTGCCTTCAGAAGCGTATCATCAGAGAGAAATTTCAATCTAAGATACCTGTATTTTCCTTGCTCTGAAGGTGAGGTTAGTACCTGTTGCCTTTGAGGACCCAGAGTTCAAGTCGTCCTTCCACCAGTCACTCTCTTTATATGCCAAGTATCAAATGGCCATACACAAGGATACAGCAGCTGAGTGTGGGGAAGCCGAGGTACTGTTACATGTTCTTGCCTCTATTGATGATTTTTTTGTCTGTAAACTACTAGGATGCCATAGTAAAGAACAGCTACAGCTATGCTGTATCTCCAGCAAGCCTGGGGAGCATAATGTAATGGATAGTGTGTGTCAGATGGCTGCCTCTCTTGACTAACTGCCAGAATTAGGGCAGGTAACATAAGCTCCAGGTGACAGTTGTCTGTTTAGAAAGGGGACCTGACAGCCTTCTGGGAGCGCTGTGATATAGAGGAAAGAGCACTAAATGTGGGGCTAAGCTTACCTGCACAGACTCCTGACCTGGCTCCCCCATCAGTTTGTGGTGGTGTACACATCATTTAATTGCTCCAAATATGTTTCCCCATCTTTCCAATGGGGATCATTATACTTGTAGTACTATCCCATAGAGTTCTTGTGACGAGAGCATTTGGGAAATGTTGAAGTGCTAAGTAAATGTCAAGGAGGTCACTGAGTAGTTCTAAGGACAAATAAATTAATATGTTCAGAGCACATGGAATTCCTCAGGAGGAAAAGATCTGAGCATTGTCAGGGTATGTTGCTATTCACTTATGAGCTATGTAACTGGTGAAGTTATTTAATCTCTCTCAGCCTCAGTGTTCTCATTTATAAAGTGAGAATCATAATAACTACCTCACAGAGTTGTGAGGATCAAAGAGACTCACTCTGTCATTGGTAATGCTTTGTTATTCACGGATTTGACAATGTGTGAAAAAGATGTAAGTAGGCTTTACGTGTTTTTATGTACCTTTACTGTTATAAGATCCAGATCTTGCTTATTTTATCTTGAATTTCTCCGGTAATACTGGAACCACACACAACACTTTGTACTTGAGTATAGTAGGGGTTAACCTGCACTTTAAGCATTTGTGGTGACTCTTGAGTCCTTGTCTTTTTTGCCATTCATTCTTACCATTATTGGATATTTACATAGAAAAATGTGCAAGTAAGAGTGGCCGAGGGAGGAGACAGTTCTTGCCTTAGCTGTTGACAGAGTTAACGTGCTGCTTTTAAAACCCAAACTAGCTTGTATTATGGCATTGATTGCTCACAACTGATGAAAAATATCTATCAAATAGGAAAGCAGTCTGTAAAAGGAACCAGGATGACAAGCAGCTGTATTCACATGTATGTTAGTTTAAACTACTTCATTACCTGAGTGAATATGGTACACTTTCACAGAAAATGGAAATGTCTTTCATGTTGATTGTTTTTACTTTCTCTCTGAATCATATTTTGCACATCATTACTTTGTATTGTTCTTTTTAATGTATTTGTCCTTTATTTTCGTTTCCTTCATGAAGAGAAATTGAACTGTTTACCTGTGGGAACATTGTTCTTGCTTTATACTGTATGAGTACCAATTACACTCTGTGTTGTAGCAGTATTGTAATTTCCCTTAGAATGACTGCTTATACAACTATATACTTTAGTGCTGCTTAACATGATTATTCATTCACATTATTTAATGTTAGGGGTCTTTTAAAGTAGTACGTCTTATTTTCTTCTGAACTCTCAAGTTTAAGGGAATTGAAACATCACAGATTGAAAAGGTTTGTTTCAAACTAGGATGTTTCTTGGGTTACATCTTTAGGGCTGTCTCTTGATTATGCAAGTTGGCAAGCTTTCCATGTGCGAGAAAATACGTTTTTGCTTCCGTTAAGAGGATCTTGTTTAGCTGACAGCTGCCCTAGAATAGCTCTCCTTAGAATTGGGCAGTGGGCCAGATGAGGACCACCTTCTGCTTTTTTGTGCCATCATATACTCCACTCAGCAAAAACTGGTTATCCAACTATTTGTAAGCATTACTTTTTCTGTGTAGCTGGTTGCTAAAAAGAAACTGATAGGGATCTTATTGTTTTTCTTTGTGGGTCTACCTCCTGGAGCTTTTATTTAAGGAATCTAATTCAAGCCACAGAGTACAAAAAAAAATGATTTGTGAACATGCATAAGTATACTTTGCTTCCATAAGTGAACTTGTATTACTGTCTCGTGCCTAATGTCATTAATTAAGTAGATGGTTCCCGAATTTATATTCTCTGAAAAAATTCTAGATTCTGTCAGAAAGAGAGAACGTTTTCTGCTTTATCAGGCTTAACTTAAACAATCTCATGAACAATGCTTCAAGGGCAGTGTGGAATATACTTTAGAGGACTATTGTTTATTCAGCAGAATAAGATCATTTAATAATGAATAATTTGTTTTTCTGTTGACTTTTTAAGCATTTAAGGTTAGGAGCAGTTTGTGTCGTAGGTTGACTTTGGCACAAAATCTATTTAGCTTCTGATGGTAACTGTATAATAATCGTATTAAGATCCAGAAAAGTAGGTTATTGGTTCAGCTGTTAGATGAGAGAAGAAATAAATATAGGTTGGATGCTTATGTATTCTAAAACAGTAAAAATCAAGTCATATTAGTAATATTTCTGAAAAGCAGCTCCCACTGGAAGATACTCAGGTAGTGGAAGACTTGCTATGTATTTTGAAAATACTTGTATTTTTAGTTATTCATAGCAAGGTGACTACAAGAAAATATCAGGAAAATGAAAATATGTACAAAATAATTTGCGTTTGAATCCCTGGTAAGATATTGCTGATATCTACAACTTTTTTTTGAAAGCAATATATAATTAAAGTATGCAACTAAGGAGACAGCTGCTGCAGTAGAAGACTGCTTTTGGAGTCAGGGAACCTGGGTTTTAATCTTGACTCTGCCACTTGTGTAACCTTGGATAGATCACTTAATCTCTCTAGGCCTTATTTTCATTGTCTGTACTTTGAGAAGATGGACTAGATGTCCTCTGAGGTCCTTTCTAGCTCTGAAGCTTTGATGAGGGGATCTCCAACTTCCTGCTGATCATCTCCACCTGGACATCCATTGGTACTTCAGATTCAAATTGTTCCGTATTGAATTTCATCATCTCCTGCCTTACTATACTTCAAATGTACCTATTTCTCTTTCTTCTTTTTTAAAAAAATAATTAATTTATTTTTGGTTTTCAAAGATTTTGAGTTTTAAGTTTTCTCTCCTTCCCTCTCTTCTACCCCTCCCTCAAGATGGCAAGACGTCTGATATAGGCTCTACTTAAACATTCATATTAACCATATTTTCCCATTAGTCATGATGTAAAGAACAATTAGAACTAATGAGAGGAACCCTGAGAAAGAAGCAATAAAACAAAACAACAAAGAAAAAGGAGAGCAGACAGTATGCTTCCATCTGCATTCAGACTCCATAGTTCTTTCTCTGGATGGGATAACATTTTCCATTGTGAGTCTTTTGGAGTTGTCTTAGATCCTTGCATTGCTGAGAAGAGCCAAGTCTATCAAAGTCTTATTTCACTTGATGGCATTAATTATTCTCCTGTCACTCAGGCTCAAAACCCTATCTTTTCCTCTTTAGCCTCTTATCACCTCTTCCAGCCAGTTGTTGATTGATCACTTCCTTAACATCTCTTGTGTTTGTCCCCTTATTTCCACTCTTAATTCTCCCTCCTTATTTTTGGTCCATAACACGTCTCACCTAGACTACCTTGCTAGTTTTCTCATTGGGCTCCCTTTGTACCATCTCTCCCATTTCTAGTACTTTCTCCACTCACTCACTTGCCAAAAAATAAGATTCATAAGACCTCTGTAGTCACCATGTCACTTACTTAAAGCACTTCAGTAGGGAACTCTTGCCTCAAGAATAAAACTCATGCATTATACTTTCTTTCTAGAATTGACCTTTTTAGCATTATTCTTATTTATTCATTCTGTGTTCTGGCCTGAGCAGACTACTGTTCCTTGAACTTTTCATGCCATCTCATGGGCTCATAAATTAGAGCTGAAAATGACCTTGGAGGTGAAGTTCAAGTCTCATTTTACAGATGAGGAAAATGAAGCCCAAAGAGGTTGTCACTTGGCCAAGGTCACACAGACACTTAGTGGCAGGGCTGGGATATAAACACATGCCTTTCCACAGTACCATGACTGCTTCCTCTCCTGAGCTGAAAGGGATCTCCTACTCAGATATTCCTAGAGTACTTTGCTTAGGTCTTCCTGTTTCCTTCCTCACTCACTACCTTAGATTATGCCAACTTTTATGCTTGTAGTCCATCACTTCCTCCCCTCTCCCATATAAGTTCCTCGTAGTCATGGATTGTGTTCTTTCTATTTTCTGTATCCCAGCACCGAGCATGGAGACCTGCACAGAGTATGTGCTTAATAAAAGTTTATTTACACTGGACATAATTAATTGTACAATTAAAGAATAATTATTTAAAATATTTTGTGGAGAAATACTGCATTTTCCAGAAACCTTGAGATTGATAAATACGTGATTCAAATTTGGAAGAAATGCTGAGTGACATTTGCTAAGAGGGAAATTTATGCATTAGTAGGAGAGGGCAGCTCCAACAGGGTGGGGGTGAAGCTATGAGATATTTTGATGGTTCTCTTCAAGTGAATGTTTAAGGGCCATTTTCTGAAAGGTATGTGTTAATCTAGAAAAGTGGTTTCCAGCCTTTGGACTATAGACCTCTAGGAAGCTAGAGTATTATTTCAAAGTGTCAGTGAAACCATATATGAATCTATAAACAATTACAACTTATGAAGGCTGAAAAATGTCTCCGAAACATGTATGTGTATTACTGGTTTTCAGATAATGTAGATGCTGATGTGATTGCTGAAATACAAATTCACTTAAAAGCAAAATTGACTTCATAATAGCTTTTTGTCACTGCACTTTCTTAGTCAACAGATACTAGTAGTCTAACATCCTATATTGGGGAGTCCAAGGAACTTTGCAGACATTAAAAAAGGGTCTGAATACTTGAAAAAGTTATGAACCACTTGTCTATAGGAGGTCCTCAAAATGATTTAATAGAAGCACTGAATAAAGAATAAAGACCTCTGGCTTCTAGACCAAGTTCTGCTATTTTGATATGTTTTAAGCAAAGTACTAAACTTTTCTGGGACTCAGGTTTTTTCATCTATAAAG